CTTGAGACTGTATACAAGCCTGCCTGTGGCATTTATACCCTGCTTTTTATAAGTTGCAAATAAAAGCGACTTACAAAAACGAGGTAGCGACAATTGCAACGCCTACCTATTCTGCGTGGGGGGGGCGGGATTTTCAAGCAGTTAGACGGTCCGCGAAATGGATCGTTTTAATTCACAACTACTCTGAAACGAGTGGCAACATTTGAGTGGCAAACAGGAGTAATTTCTGCTCACGTCAATAAACCCAAACTGTGTTTAGGATCGAGTGTCAAGCCCTATTAGAAGCAGTCTTTAAGCAATCTCCCATCAGAACCAACTTCTTGAAAAGTTAATTCCCTGGACAAGCCTTGTTTTAAAGCTGACGGGATTCCAAGTTCTGGTTCCCAATTCAGCCGTATCCTAGGAATTTTCGCTGTGGATCGATTTGTTAGTCGTCGGTAGACATGCCTTGTAGGCATGGATATCCCATGCCGATGAAAAGAGGAAGCAAGGAGCATTCCGCCTTCATACGGAAGGATGAATTAGCAACAATGCCCAAGACTTTGAGGCTTTAGGCACAATCTTATGCAAGTTCAGCCTGAAAAAAGCTGGGACACGCTGCGAGTTAGAGACCTTTCTTCGATCTAAGTTTGCGCTGTATTCCACCCTTAACCAAATATAAATGTTCCTTCTTTTCAGTACCTGTAAGTCTGTTTGGCCTTTCAGGTTCACCTTTTTAAGCTCGAGCAATTACGTGCCTGAGTTCTTAAACATTTTAAGGTCGCAATCCTGTGCATGCTTAGACAGAAAAGGGACTTTCTACAACTTCCAGGATTCTCCAGGAGGCATGGCAGGCATTCATACTCGTAGGTGTGCACCTTCAACCTGTCTTCCTCTAGGTGGGGACTCCACCTGTGAATGACATGTCTCTATGTAAATCTAAAATCATATTAGGAAGTATAAGGCTAGAATGGATGTTGTGTTGGTTATTTCTGATAAATTAACTGATGTTTGATGTTTTGTGGGGGCCATTGAATGGGATGAACCTTCATTTTCTTCTCTACTACATTTAGGATCAGCCTAACTCTGAGTAGCTCTGGAGCAGATTTTCTCTCTCCCTCTGTCTCTCTCTCTCTCTCTCACACACACACACACAGAGGTAAATCTCATTCCAGGTGGATAAATCATTTAAATCATTGATTAAATCATTGATTTAATCATTTAAATCAATAAATCATTGCAATCTGTTTGTTCCTACTTAATAATTTGGAATAACAGCCACCCTATGGATCCTGCATGTTTCAGTTCATACTTGGAGGAAAGTTCCATACTTAATTCAGTGGGATGTACTTATGAGGGCATCCTTTAATGTGTGTTCTGACTAAAAGAAGCCCTACAAGTCCTAGTATATAGCCAACTGGGGTATACTGGGAATTATAGCATTTTTCCTTGTTCAAACATGCATAGCATTGAATCCCAAGTAAATGTGTGCCAAACAGCAGCCTCTGGTTCATACCACCATTAAAACCAAGACTATCCAGAATTATTGGGAAAAACAAAGTTAAGTCTGTACTTTTGTTAAGTTCTACCCAGGCAGTGCTAGGCCCCTGAAAGATTCCAGGCTCATAGCTACAGGGAGAAAGAAATTTCAATTTGCACATGTTCTAAAATCATTTTGTGTGTATTTAAAGAACTTTGTCCTCTATCTGGGGGAAAAAGATGTATGGACAGGGTCCAGGATGGCAACTGATTTCGGGGGGGGGACAGGGGGGGATCAGGTAGAAAGTTCAAGGGATGGAACAGCAGGAAGTGAAGTGCATGTGAGCAAAAACTCAACTAATCCAGGGGAACCCAATGCAACAGAAATAATCAGGGCCCCTGCACCATTCATGCAGCAAGTGCCACAGACAGCAGGGTAGTGGGGCAGCTGGTTTCCCAGAGATTTGGGGCTTCCAATGAACAAACGAACAATTCAAGGCACCAGCCCTAATGGACTGCATCTGATTGTATGACACCCACCCCCCCTGCCAAAGTTTAAGGACTGGCTGAATAGCTAATCTTGTATATATGTCATTGTTTTGTTTAAAATAGTTTGCCTTCCCAAAATTGTGGGGGAAACCTGCAGAGGAGCTATATTAGGGTCAAAGTGAATGGCAGTCTGAGACTGCTCTGTGGTCACTGGATAACCAGAGCTCACACTTTAGCTCAGCCCCTCAGCATACATGCTAACCCGAATTTATGCATGTTGGTGTGGAAGTAACCTTTCCTGGAATCAATGGGGCTCCAACCTTTAATATCCATTCCTTTGGAATGCAGTGGGACCCATTTCAAAGTAGTAGTGCCTGAGGGTTGAGAAAACAGCAGCCTTTCCCTTTTATCTTGCTGGTTTTATGAAAGTTCCTCTAAAATCATAAGCCTGCATAATGTTTGGAGTAAATATGCTCCTGTTGAAGGAGTAAAGAAGAATTCATGCGCCAGAAGCAGCAACTGGGTTAGGAAAAGAGAATTATAGAGCACAAACTTGGATTGCTTGCTGCCCAAGCTCCAGTATCCGTTTGTTCCTAATCCGCTGGCTTTGTATTTTATTTAAACCTAAAGTACATCAAGAGGAAGCATCCCTTGAAGATGAAATTGTTTGATTTGCTATGAGCCGAGCTGAGGACTCGCTTTTTGCCTCTGCTGCTTTTCTAGTCACCCCCCCCCCACCACCACCGAGGGGAGCTGGTTAGGGGATTTGTGTCGGTGGGGTGAGAGCGACTACGGGTGTGGGGGAGCGACTTGTCACCACCATATTATTTGGCTGGTTAATTCCCTTCCCCTTTCCTCAAATAACTTTTTGATTTGAGCCGAGGGAGAGGGTGAACAGATACTCTTTCTCTCCTAATGTGATATAAATCACCGATACACTTTCTCTGTTCCACCCCTGAATAGTTAAAGCATCGACATGGAGATCATAGGCGCGCGCACACACACACACGCACACAAGCTGGACCCAACACAACACAACACAATCGAAAGAAATAAAGCTGGTTAATAAGATTTTTGGAAGGGGGGACGCTTTGTGCTCTCACATAGAAAAGAAAAGAAGGCGAGGCGGCGGGTGCGGGGTGGGGGAACAGCTGAAGGTGACAGTTCATGCTTAATAGGATCACGGCTGCTGGCTTGGTCCGCACGCTTCTGCTACCCAAAGGCTCAGCACCAAACGGCTGAATAGGGTGCTTTTAAAACACACGGCACTTTAACGCATCTGCTAGCTTCTGCAGGGGAGAATTTGCGCGGGGGAGGCTTTTTAAAAAGCAAGATAACTACCACGCTGCTCTTTTAGCTACCGCCTCACCCTCTCTCCTAAGGAATTTTTTTTTTAAACAAAACCGTTTATATTGTTGTCTGAGAAGGGGACCGCTGTTGCTTCGGGCTTTATGTTACGATAGCCAGTGTTTTCAGAAAGTCTGCTAAGGTTAAAGGGCTAGGAGAGCCGAAACTTCCCCTGAATGGGTTGCCAAACAGCTTGTAAGGGAAATTTGGGGACCGGGGGGGGGGGGGGGCCTCAGCGAGTGGATTTGGGGGCTTGTGTGTCCGCTGGGGGAGGGGGCTTCTAGGTCAGCCCGCTTAGAGGGGTCGCCTTGATGGAAGGTGCTCTGCAAGGTGCGGGCCTGTCTTTGGAGAAAGGACGGCCGCGGACCCCCGCAGCGCCGTGCGGAGGGAGAGTCCTTCCTTCGAGCCGGCCGAGTGTCGCTGGCGGAAGCAAATCCGCTTGCAAGCGAGCCACGCGGCTTGGATGTGAGTTGCAACAGTGGATGTCCTTCCCAAGTCAGACAGGGGTGCGAGGCCCTGGAGCATACAGGGGCTAAAACCTCCCTTCAGTCCAGCTGGCCTTCGGCTCCGAAGATATGATGGCAAAAAATGGGACGGCTGACGCAACTGTTTATTTTTAATAGCTTGATTTTTCTCCTTCTAGCCTTTCTTAAAATAGGCGAACTACCAAAGCACTTTCGTTGTTGGAACTTCCCCTGATGAGCAGATCCGTTGTTGCTTTGATTCGGTTTAGCACAAACGCTTACGCACCCTGGAGGGCTGTTTACAAACCGGTCCTTCCTTCTTTCCCTACAGCCGACCAAGCCCGTGTGAACTCCTCGCAACGGAACGCTCGCTCGGAAGAAGCTGTTGCCGCAGCCTCGGAAAGGCAGAAACTCGCCCCAAAAAAGAGAAAGAAAGTCAGAGTCACACCCGGTTCGCCATCGGCTCCGATCTCAAAACCCCCTTTCATGCGCGGCCAAGATTTCATTTCATTCCTCCTCATTTGTATTTTTCCATTCTTCAGAAGGCTCCAGGATAAGTTTATATAACTATTTATTGATGTATTCCCTGAAACTGTGCGGGGTCGGGGAGAGCGCGCGCGCGCCCGTGCAAATAAATTTAGTGCTTTTCTGGAAATAATTCGCTTCTGCTCCCCTCGCCCCCTCTCCCGCCTGCAGAGCCGACCTGTCACTGGGAACTTTTTAAAAAGACGTTTAATTAGCGTGTGTGCGTGTGTGCCCGTCCGTCCGTCCGTCCGTCCGCGCGCGCGCCGCTTCGGAACAAAACCCTGCTGGTCGCCTTTGGAGCGACGCCGTCGCGAAAGAGGCGGTCAATATGCAAAATTGATGACTCCACTTTCTTTGTTGCGGGGGCCATTGTGCGCCGCTTGCTTATGAAGTCTAATCCAATCATAAATTGCACCCCCGGACCAATGAGGGAGCCCCGCGCCGCCAATGAATGAAACTCAAGTGGAGAACCCCATTGTTGGAGCTGTCACTGCTGAAAGCGCTCGAGGGGCGCTGACCGCTATAAAACCCATTACGCGGAGGAAGGGCCAGGAGAGCCCTGCCAGCCCCGCTGGGTGGATCGCGGGGGAAGGCGCTCGGCAGGGACGCGGCGGCGGCGGCGGCGGGAGGGAGAGCGCGGCCCGGCCCGGCGGCGGGCATGGCGGTGCCGGTCTGACGGCGCCCGGCGAGCCGCCCCGCGCGCCGCCCGCGCCTGCCATGATGTTCCCGAGCCTGATCGCGCCGCCCGCCGTGTACCCGAGCCTCTTGCGCCCGACGCCCACCCTCACGCTGCCGCAGTCGCTGCAGTCCGCCTTCTCCGGCCACTCGAGCTTCCTGGTGGAAGACCTCATCCGCATCACCAGGCCGGCCAGTTACCTGCCCCGGAGCGGCGCCCCTCCGCCCAGCATGTCCCCGCCCATCTCGGCCGCCAGCGCCGCACGGACCGACACGGCGAGTGCCTCCTCCGAGCTGGGCGCCGCCAGCGCCGCGGGCGCCCGCCGCGGCTGCTCCGCGGAGCCCTCCGTCTCTCCCAGCAACGACGCCACCTTCCTGAAGTTCGGGGTCAACGCCATCCTGTCGTCGACTCCCAGGACAGGTGAGCGGCTTGACGAGGATGCAAGCGCCCGCCCTCCTAGCCAGCCAGGCGAGTCGCGGCAAGGACTGTCGGGAATGGGGGCGCGGGGGGGGGGAGATAGGTGTGGGTGGAGGTGCGGCGCTTGAATGGCCAGAGCCTCCTCTCAGCACAATCGCTCGGGGGGGGGGGGGGGGAGCAGGTGGGCAGAGCAGGACCGCGTCACGCACCTGGTGCGCGGGCCAGTTACCTTTCTTTCGCTGGAAAGCGAGCACCTGCGTTGCGGTGGCACGGACACCAGGTGCGCAGCTTCTAGGCACACGTGGAACTGGCCGCACTGCCCCGGCCCCCAAATAACCCAAACAGCATCAGGTAAAATAACGCGGGGAGGGCAATTATACCTCTTCGTATGGAAACTAACTAGCCTTGGCGACAGGCATTGGGGAAGAGCGCCGCTCGTGGGACGCGCGGGGGGGGGGTGCCCCAGAAATGTAATTAATCGATCGATTGATCAGTCCTGCGGCGGGGTGGAGACCCGCTGGACGGCGACGGGCGTGTGGGATGGGCGAATCTCGCTTCTAATTCGCATTTTCTCCCGCAGAAACTTCCCACGCGCTGATCCAGAGTGTCCCTCCCAAGACTTTCTCCTTTCCATACTTCGAGGGATCCTTCCAACCTTTTATCAGATCTTCTTATTTTCCAGGTGGGTCTTGGGGCGCGCTTCCTCCCCTGCTTTTGCGCCTCTTCCCAGCCAACTCACCTACCCGCGCAGCTCGCTCTTTGTTGCAGCCATGAAAAGCGCCTGATTCCCTCGGTGTCGCCCGGAGGGATCGGGCGGTGCGGAGAAGATCGTTCCCGTCCTCCGGTTCAGAGGTTGGACGGGGTACGACATTCAAGAATCAGTCGCGCCAATTTGATGCCCTATTTAGCACAAGCCGCGACGGGCTGTCATTTTCCTTCGCGGCTCGCCCGCCACCCCTGCGCTACAAATTAGCCCAGATTGTCATGGTCCGATCGTGAGGCGGTGCATTTCTGACAGAGATGCTGCCGGCCTCCTCTTCAGGGCGGCGGTTTTCCCACAGAGCCTCTGTGCTCTTTCCCGATGGCCAACAAAAGTTTCAGCACCATGACCAATTTGGTCAGCTCCCTCCGGGCAGCCACACACGGCGCCTGGGCGCTGACTCGGCCTTGCTGCCGATAGACATTTACCAGCCATGGGCTAATTTCCCATTAAGGGTCATTCGCTCTGCCAACGTTTTCACAAGACCACATGGAGTGCTTCCTTGTCTGGGCACTTCGGTGTGGCCGGAGCCAATTCCACTCCGCCCCACCCCAACCTTCAAAACTCTCCCTTTCAGGAAAGCGCAACTCCTTCAGGACTGGGAAGCAACTGGGTCTGCCTCTTTGCAAAACGAGCGCAACACAGGTGGTCTAGGGTGGCTTCACAGGCTATTCTGGCACTTTGTATTTCTCGGGGCTCAACGAAGCCCATCTGGTTGCCTGAGGAACAAATGGCTCCCACCTGTGCCTGCCTCAGGTCAAGGGTCCAATCGCCTGTGGTCAGCCAAGACTTCTGGCACCTGAAGCAGAACAGACTCCAGTACCTCTTGCTCTTACTGGCAGTAAAAATGCCACAGTACATGAAAAAAACTAATAATTTGCTGCCCTTCCACCGTACATGCTATCTATGATGTCATTGCGCTAGCAGTCTAAGATTCCACCTGTTCAAAGTGCTACCTAGAGTGTCCAGGGAGGACACCTCAAGCAGCAGCACTGTTGCAAGTGAGCAGGTGTAGCCCTGACGAGAGCTTGGAAAGGAGGCCACAAAGAATTCCCTTGGTAACCCCCTCCAGACACACACGCCTTTGAGTTTTATACAATGTTATAAAAGAATTATGGACATTACTTCTTGGTTGAAGTTATGTTGGTCCTATTTTTTCCTTACTGAATGTACAATATACCACCAGGGTTTTCAGTGTGTGTGTGTGTGTGTGTGTGTGTGTGTGTGTGTGTGTGAGAGAGAGAGAGAGAGAGAGAGAGAGAGAGAGAGAGAGAGAGAGAGAATATATTTATTTTACGTAGTCCTCTTCACTACTCAGTGGGTGTAAAATTATTATTAAAGATGTTTAAAAGGATATATCCTAAATATTCAGTCAAGAATGCCTAATCAAATTATCTCCAGATCTTAAATTTTGCTGCGGAAAAGCTGCACTTAAGAGGAACAACTTTCAGAAACATCACTCCACCAATAAGCTGTTAATATATTTTGTTCCAAAAAGCCAAGGGATCCCCCATTCATTCTCGTGATAATGGAATTTGCTTCCTTTCTCCAGCATTTGAATGGCCCAACAAAAACAACTTGAGCCTTATATATAGCTTTTCATGTCCATTTAATGAAAATGATTTGGGGAAAGAGAAGGCTGTGTCATCAGTATTCTCCCCAAGGAACTTGGCATGCAGTTGTGTTTAGTTTGAAAGTGTAAATCTCTTTTGTTCCAATAATATATGGCTTTAGTTGCTTGTCCTCAGTCTTTTTCTGTTAGTTCATTACTACACAATTACCATTCACGCTTCATTAGAATCTCTGTTTCTCTTTGGGAGTTTTTCTTTCCGCTTAAAGGCGAAACTCTGCCCTTTTTATCATACCAATCCCATTGGAAACCAGTCAATGTGCTAATTAGCTGTTACTTTTCATGTCTTCAGAGTGAATTCTTCAGGTTTTGTAAGGAAAAAGCATGGGTGGGGGGGAGAGAAAAGATTGATATAAAAAAGATGAATACTGATTGATCAAAACTTCCATCTAAAAAGGTTTTGTTTTTTGTTTTTTTGGGTCTGGTAAGAAGTGCCCCTTATTTTAATGTGGTATATAATAAAGTGCATTGCATGGGAAAAAAAACTTTTGAAAATTAAATACTTTTAGAAAAGAGAGGTTTTAAACTATACCTTTGTCTTCCTGGTGTTTCCTTTTCAAATTCCAGACCTTTGAATTGCCTAACACAACGGGCCAACCATAGATACCTTCATTTGTTGTATCCAATCTAATCTAGTTACCACTGGCTGAAAAGAACAGTTAAGTTAAGCGTAAACTCCTTTTCATTCCTTCAGGTTTGTAGGTGCTGATCTCCTTGACTCAGAAAAGGGTACAGAAAAAAAATGAGGAAGGGGCATCAGGAGAAAAGAATCAGACTAGTGGCAAAATCCAGAGGCATGCAAATCAAAGGAAGATTGATCTCAGTGGGCTATGTATGTTGTCTTCAGGAAAAACTGGTCCCAGAACTGATTTATTTATTTAGCTGACAGGACTTATTCTTGCTTTTCGCACAGCTTCTTCAGTGGTGCCCATTCCTGGCACATTCTCTTGGCCTCTTGCTGCCCGAGGGAAACCCCGCAGAGGAATGCTCCGCAGAGCAGTCTTCTCAGATGTGCAACGCAAAGCTCTGGAGAAAATGTTTCAGAAGCAGAAATACATCAGCAAACCGGACAGAAAAAAATTGGCGGCCAAGCTGGGTCTGAAAGACTCCCAGGTAATCAAACAAACAAACAACAAACCATCCCTTAATCAAGGGGAATCAGAAATGAGGTTGGGGGAAGCCTGAAGTTGGGTATTATACCACGGTGGCTACCAAGGCATTTTGTGAGAAGCTGGTCTATGTGAAATGAGTGCTGCCTAATTTACCGCCTTAACCACAACCCAGTTAAGTCAAAATGGTAATACTTAAGACAGTCTAACAAAGCTGGTATCCAATTCTAGCACCATTTGCTAGACAAGAAGTTCCATTTCCTTCAGTGGAATGAATTTCTTGTGTGCATCCATTTGGAAACCAACTCTTTTTCTCCCCCAATGCTACAACAGTTGGGCCTACAGCACGTTTAGAAGGCACGGCTCACCTGAACTTTCAGATGAATATCCTAGGACAGAGTGGACTTGTAGCCTTTCTTACACTTATTTCTTCCATTTCTATACTTCCCAATAGCCAAAGCTTTCTGGGTGGCTTGCAGTAGATAATAAAAACAATCCAATAATACCAGAAAATATTTCCAAATGCAAACATTTAAAAACAAAATTAAAACAGCTAAAACAACATATGATGGAGAGTAGCCTTCTGTCTAGTCTTAGCCACATCAGGTGAAAGTCAAGCATCCCCTTCCCAACCGGATGCTCCCTGGATATTTTGAAGGGGTTCCAGCCTTCCAGACCATTGATCTTGCTGCCCAGAACTAGTGCGAGTTGAAGAGAAAAAACATTTAGAAGGCCTCAGGTTGGACGCTGCTGTTATAGGCATTTATCAGGAACATCTTCAGATTGAAAGGCTTGTCAGGATCAGTTCATAACACCAAACATCCACATAGTGACTTCTTCCTGTTGTGCCCTGTCTATGGCAAATACCTCACATCCAGAAGTTCACTAGGCAGAGCCACCCATTTTCATCCCAGTGTTGCAAAACTGGGTTAAAGCCGAGGCTTCACCTGCTATGCCAAAACAGGCTGCTGTGCTTGCAGATGGCTGGATTTACTGCTGTAACTGCACAGCTGGTGGGATCATCAGTTGCTCTTAAGCATCTCTGAAAGCCATGGATTTTACTTCCACACGAAGCTCTTAATCTTGCTAAAGTGCATGGACACATCGTCTTTCCCCTGCACTTTCTCACAATTGTTCCTAAGAAGCCCCCCCCCCCACTCACATACACACAACATTGTGTCCACGGTACATGAGTGTATAGGAGTGTGTGGGTAATTGTTTGTGATTGTAATCAAAACTCCCACCCAAAGAAAGTTAGTTGCAGTTAAGGCCTATCAGTAGGACCCATTTCCAGCGAGGTTGCAACCTTGAGTGCCACCTCCTGCAGGTTGTTCAGTGTAGCAACCTGCTCCTTTTTCCTAGTCCTGCTGATTTTAATGAGAACTGAGCACAAATAATTTGTTTTCCAGTTACAACCACAGAATAAGCATGTTAATGTAATTAAATCCCTTTAAACATATTTCCAAATTAAAATATTTATATCTATATTCCACCCATCCACTTAAAAGCACCACTTAACTTGCAATCTATATAAAACTATCAACCAAGATGACAGGGCCAGCTGTTCGGACCAAACCTAAAAGCACTGGAATGGATCCAGAGTTAGTCATGCTTAGATTAAATTTACTGAAATAACTAACTAAAGCTCCATGGACATCAATGGGTTCACTAAACACAGCCAACTCTTGAATCAGACCACTGAATGCAGGCTACAGCAAAAATCTGGCATAACCTCTGCTAGTTGAGACTACTATCTCCTGCAAGTTGCTGGGTTCAACAACATAATAACCCATGGAGGTTTATAGAACAAGGCTGGGATGCTGTGTTGTCTGAACCCAGCACCATGGCCTCTTAACTACCCTGGTTGGGTTCAGAGAGCCCAACAAGCCATTCCAGGCTTAAAAGCCACCCAGGCACTGTTTCAATAAAAGCTCTTTCCAAGGAACTGTTGCCAGAACAGCCTACCTTGAGAGCTGCTTTGGTAGAATGGCTAATCTGCATCCCTGGTTGAAATCTCACATTAGCTGACAGTTCAGTAGGTAGTTTTAGCAGATCCTGCCATAAAGTGACCAGTACTACAGCTATGTATACTTTATAGGGCTGTGTAAGGATTACTAAGATCATAAATCTGCAGCACTTTGAACAAATCTTGGATAAATGCTTGCTGTTGTTACAGTCTGGAGTGCAATTCCTTCCTTAAAGGAACTCAAGGCAGTCTAAGTAGTCCTCCACCACTGTATCTTCTCAACAATGCTGTATGGGAGGTTAGGTGGAAAGAAAGACTGACTCAAGGTCACTCGGAGAATTCATAGGGATTTGATCCTGGGTTTCCCAGTGTTGGCTGAACATGGCACTGCATAGGAATGCTGGGTTGTGCAGCAGGTTAAGAGCTAATAACGAGCATCATGTGGATTTGCAGAACAGAACAATCACTGCAGAATACAGCTTGCATCCCTCCAAGGAGCACTCTAAAGGTGCCTGCCATGCAGTACAAGGCAATCTGGGTTTCCCCAGACCTCCCGTTGCAGTAAGTGGAGCTCATCTTAAGCCGGAATGCTTCAGAATGCAGCCTTCTGAGACTGCAGTTGCTGCTGGGTTTTAAAAAGGAGTCTTTCTTCACAACCAAGTCTTTGGAGGTGGCTTGCCCTACTGAGCCAGGAGCTCTCCTCACCCATAATAAATGCCACAGGCATCAAGCATGTTACTCATCTGATAGGTTGCATTCAGTCTCTTAAAATAAGAAAGCCATCAAGTAAAGAAAGGGGGAAGCTCAAAGAAAATGGGTCAGTGCAAGAAGGTGGGAGATGATGTGTTTGGTCAGTATGAGAAAGTTCCAGGGAAATGGCTGCTTATTGCTCAGGAGGCAGTGGGCGATTAACTCTTATTTGTGACATACGCAGTGCTTTAAAATTACCACAGAGTAGCATGTTCAATATTTTGTTGAAATCCTTTTAAAAACCCTGTATTATTTTCCCCATTTTTGGATGGGGAGGCTGAGAGTGAGAGTGAGTGGCCAGCCCAGACCACCTAATCAACGCAGGAGCAGGAGAAGCTCAGAAAGAGAACTTCACTTGCCTCTTCTGTGCAGCCTTGTGCAGAGAGAGAGAACAGTCCTGCAACCTTCAAGCTGTCTGGGGACTGTTGGGAGTTGTGGGGCTTTTATCTTTCTGTCCAAACACGCAGGGGATTGTGCTTTTAGCCACTGTGCTACTGGAGAAAGCTGGTGGCAGTGGAGGGAACTGCTTGAAAAACTGACAAAGTTAGGGAAAGAGTAATGGGAGAGAGAAAGGAAACTAGAGGACAGGTATGATTTATGTCACCTTTAAGAAAAGGCCATCTTTGAGCAGGTACAGAGAAGCTTGAGTTCCTCCCTGAATGCTAAGGTGTTACTAGCTTAAGCAAGAGTACATATCTGGAAAACCAAATATTGGGTGTCTCATTTATGCAGTGTTATTTTAAATAAGGGAGCAAGCAAAAAGTCCTATCTTCCCTTGCAACAGCAGGATTTCATCAAGGGCTTCAGACCACTGGTGCCATTTTAGAAGAATCCCATAGATTTCTGAAACAGTGGATTTGTGGATTCATCTTCAATGCACATTGGGTCGCCCAGTCGTTGATGATGGGCATCTGTTCTAATGTATATGGTGAAATGCCTTTTTTCAGAGCCTGTGGGAGGTTTCCCCACTGCTCTCTCAATAGTTGCTCCTCAGAGGGTAACTATAAATTTAACTCAAGTTATATAGATCTCTACCTCGATGCTCCATGACCTTCCCAATGTATTTTTGAAAACTCTAGGTAAAGATTTGGTTCCAAAATAGAAGGATGAAGTGGAGGAATTCCAAGGAAAGGGAGCTCTTGTCATCGGGCGGCTGCCGGGAGCAAACCTTGCCCACCAAGTTCAACCCTCACCCAGACCTCAGCGATGTTGGCAAGAAGGGCTCTGGGGAGGAGGAGGAGGAAGCAGCGTCACCTCACTGCCCCGCCAGCCCCAGGCATCCCTTGAGCTATCACCAGTCCACTGAGCGCTCACACCTGAGAGACAGGTTGGACTCCCCGATGCTCCCTTCCCCCACCCATTCCAGCAGCCCCAGCAAACCCTCAGACTTCTCGGACTCAGAGGAAGAGGATGAGGAGGGCGAAGACGAAGAAGAGATCACGGTGTCATAGAGGCCCATCTTCTTACTCTCCACGAAGGGGACAAGGCAAAAGTGCAAATAGACAGAGGGCTCTCTAAGTGAAGAGGTGGCGTCTTCCGGAACCCCCGGGGCACGCAGGGAAAGGAGCTGCGCCTTGTATACATCGTAGGCCATCTGGCAACTCTGATCAGAAGGCGGTCCTTTTACACCCTCCAGGCACCCGCTAGCCTTGCACTTTCCAGCTGGAAGTTGTTCATGACTCAGAAGTCATTAAAAGTAAAGCCTTGCTTTATCCAGACGACTCTGACTTAGAAGCAGAATCCCACCTACATTCATTCCCAGGTCTCTGCATTGCTCAAGAGGACTCTGGTGAGGTGCTGCTCTACCTGCAGGAGCTGCACAGCTGATGATTCTTCACTTGAGCCCTCGCTGAGCTCTAAAATGCAGCCAGCAGCATTCCCCATGTAACTCCTGGCAGATCTGGCCGTAGCTCAGGGAACAGGCCATAGCTCATTGGTAGTGCATCTCCTTTGCATGGCAGGACACCCGCCCCCCCCCCAAACCCTGGTAGCTACAGGAGGGCCTTGGGATGGCTCTGCTTGAATCCTGGGAGAGCCACTGTCTGTCAGTGTTGACTGTATTGGGTCCAATGGACCAAAGGTCTGCTGCTTCTGTTTCAATGCTAGATTGCTGAGCCTGTGCAGGCTGGGCGTCTTTGCAAGAACTGGGCCCCAAACCAGTCACACCCACCTGCGAAAACAATATTTCCTTGACTTGGCCTGGTCAGGCTTATTGATGAATCTCACACGCACCCAGGGACTTCAAAGCATTTCCACATTTGTCCTCAGTTCTGTGGCGTTCTTCTGAACACAGAGAAACTGGATCTGCCTCTTCGATTTTTGACTGAACTTTGCTGTGTTTGCACAGCTTATATGAACTGTACACTATTTTGTACACTTACATGTATGGATATTTTATACCAAGGCTATTGTGACTATACAGAAGATCAGAGGAAACTTGGCTATATTTGGTTGGGGGGTGTTGCGCACTTGCGCTTGTGTGTATGTGTGTGTGCGCGTGCGTGTGATTATTTGGTTTTTAAAACTCAAAGAGAAGCTTAGGTTTTACCTGTGTAACTTATACAAACACTGTCTATTTTGTATTCTTACTGTGTACAGATTTTAAATATGTGTATATATAACAAATGAAGCAAATGCCAAATTAAACAAATGTGTGAGTCTGATGATTTTTGTAAGTCTGGCATGATTTTTGATGCAGTCATATTCATGCCATTAATAATCACAGCCTAGCTGATGTGGCACTTGCTCAAAGAGCATTTGTGTAGTGATTCTAGGCACATGTATGTGGACGGAAACACCACTGAAATCTGCTGTGTTTAGGATCTTCATGTCCATCAAATCCCCTATGTATACATGACTCCACTTATGTGAGTGTCCATGTGCCACTCACTGGGTCCATGGTGCAAATTGTTTGGAGGAGACAGGAGAGGGACTAAGCAATCCAAAGGGTTACACATGCAAGTTGTGTCTGCTTGTAGTAACTCCTAGAATGTGACTTCTTTTATCAGGCATACAAATACCTGTTAAATGCCAATTTTATTCCACTGCAAAGGAGCAAATGGAATAGTTTCTCCTTCCTGTCCATTTCTGGAGACCTAGTCTTCAAGCACAGTCTTCATTAAAAACAAAAACGTTTTACAGGGCTGGCAGAAGATATATTTGAATCTACCTGCAGAACTCTGGATGACTTGCAGTAAATGAATTTCTAACTTCATTTTGTTTAATGATAGCAGCAACAAAATTGCTCTACTCTGGCCTCACATTATACTGATGAAGCAAACATAAAGCTTGGGGAAACCAGGAGTGAGCTCTGTGCAGAAGGGCTATAAGTGTCATTTAGTCCTTACTCAAAGGCCTGAGCTCAAAAGTCTTCGGATCAAAGTATTGGCACCAGGCTCTGGTTGGTGGATCTTGGGGTTCTGGGTAAAAAACAAATAGAAACTCCGAACCCAAAGCCTGCCCACCTCTGAAATTGCACATAGTTTTGACAACAGCCACTTGTTCAAACAGTCCCATCCACTGTAATTCTAACTATCTCATCGACTTCTTTTACTAGGATAATTCCCTTGTATGAGGAGAGCCATTCAAGATCTTTCTCACTGGGTTCCCAGAGCAGATGCAAATTGCTTTTACAGGTGGGGTTATGGACTTTGAGCAAGAACAAATTGCCAGCAAATAGGTCTGGCCCTCAGATTAGCCTCTGCCCACAGACAGAGCGGTGCGTTCCAGGCAGTGTATCTCTGACCTGCCAAGCTGGCCTGGTGCTCTCAGATGTGGTGGAGGAAACTGTTCTCATACCAGGGCCAGACTAAGCTTTAGTTGCCAGTCTGGTAGACGGGACTGATTCTTCACCTACGACAGGAGTGTGCCTTACATCAGCCCTGCCAAAAACACAGCCACACAATGCCCTCTGACAAGCACAACCACTCTTGGTATCAAGAGGGCTTCTTTTTCCTTCTTGCTGTTCCTTGCTAAAAGACACACAACTTGTACCAGAGAGTGGGAAAAAGAGGGAGTGCACATTTACACATTATACTAAACCACCCGAGCAATAAGCCAATAAGCTATTGGCCCCTCCCACTCCTCAGTTGTCTCATGGATATCCGAGAAGACGCCAGAAGGGGACCAGGTTGTCTCCCTGCTCCCCACTGCAATTGCCAGCTGCTTTCAGCTCCCCACAGTGTCTTTTCACTTTTCTCTCCCACAACCCTGCAGAGATGCCAAAAGCTGTATTACAGACAGCCATCAACAGCCCCTGATCAGCCCATGAGCAGCAGCTTGGAGGGCCTGTTCACGGCAGCCAGAACCCTAATGAAAACAATGCACAAGCACTGCACACAAAACAGCTTTGCTTTATCAAGCTACACTTGCGTAACCATGAAGATTCACGGTTGCACAAGTGCTGAGATTTGAAGTCTCAGATAGTCAAGGTCAGGTGTGGACAGTGGGAGGCAGCTGTCAGTTGATAAGGTGCGGGAGGTATCAACCCTAGTTATTTTCCAGAACAGACTCCAAATTGTTTACTCTTCCTTTGGTTTCCGTTGGCAGCTATCATGGGACGATGTGCCAGGAAAAAGCAAATGCACAAGCATCTTTGCCTTCAAAGCCTTCACAGCCTGATTCCCATTGTCCCACCACCCTTGACTAGTTCATAAACTTGCAGAGTTTGCACTTTCCCCCAAGCTGCTACAAGTTCCGGAAGGTGCAAAAATGACCTGCCCCATTCCATTCCATTTGCTAGGGAAAAGCAGTTTTGACATCTTTTATGGTTTGCTGTCAAAAATCTGGGTCCTTTAAAAAGGAGGTTTTCACTGAGCAATAAGTGGATTTGCACTGGGTCATAGAACTATTTATATCCCAAACAAAAAACAAAACAAGAAAAAATAATTGCCCAGTCAGAATCCCCCTTTAAAGATACTCAAAGTTTAAACAGCTAGCCATCAAAACTCCTTTTCCAATGAAAAATGGGGGTGGGCATTTTGTGCATTTTCCTGAGCACCTCTAGGTTCAGGGAAAAGTGCAAAATGTGCATTAGCAAGAGTTCTACCTGTGGTTGTGAGAAGAGAATCCCACATGAAGGGGAATCTTGCAAACAGAGATCATTTGTGCCTTTCATTTATCTTGTCTGTTCGTAGCAGTCAAGAGAAAGCAAAGGTGGAAAAACACTAGCAAGCCACCCTGGGGGAACTGGTCCAAGTTCTCATGACAGAACAAGCCATCATGGGTGGCAAACCAAGATGTGCTCTAATTTTTTTTAATATATATTTTATTAAAAGTTTTAAACTAACACTAATAAAAACATCAAATATCACATACATCGGATTCACTGGGTCAACCCCCTACTACATACACACACACACATTTTTTTAACATTCTAAAATCAAATTCAAATTACGCCAAGTCCCGTTTCTCCAGCCAATTATAGAAAAAGTCCCAAGTTTGATAGAAGTCAGTATCCTATTTCTCTTTCAATGATAAAGTCAATCTATCCATTTCTGCGCAGTCCAAGATCTTTCTTACAATCAGTTCGTTGGTGGGTGATGTGCTCTAATGTTATGCAAACCAGGCAATGGCTAGGTTCACATAATCATAGGAATAGATGCCACAGTGAATTCCTTCCTTCACTCCCACATGTGCCAGTTGTGTATTGCATGATTTGCCAAATTACCCTAGCAGTACATGGTTTCCCATGTTTTCCAAAACTAACGAGGAATCCCAGAACTCATGGCTTGTCAACAATAACCCATTGGTTCAACAGCAGCCAATGCTCAATCCATAGTCAACCTTTGAGAGTGTGTTACCAATTTTATTTTTTAAAAAATCAGACATTATTACATTAAAAATCATGTCCAGATATGCCAGAAGGAAAACACATGCCTGGAATGCAAGACAACAACTTTTTTCATAAGCAGAAAAATATTCCTGCATATTTCAGTCTTCATTATTCTTCTCCTTCAACTTTTAACATAGTGCCAAGAATATAATAGTTTTTTCCTACATACCAGATGGGCAAGTTTAGCTTTTCTTGTGTGGATGGTCTGTCTCCTCAGAAATAGTTTGTTGGTAGGCTTTTCTGGAAGAGAAATACATCACCGCCTTTACAAAACATGGGAGCATAGAACTACGGACCACATTTTTTAAAAGATATTGACAGAGTTATGATGGTTGGTTGGTAGGGTGGTAAGAAGTGGGAACAGCCTTGCTACTGAGTCACATTTTATTTATTCAACTTATCTTCCACTAGACTAATCTGAGGACTCACTCTCTAAGTGTATAAACAGTGCAGTCTGGATTGCACTCTGAAGAAGTAGACATATTTCTCTTAATATTATTGAGAGACTGAGTCAGGCCATTGTGTTTCTCACTACTGCTGATATTTTCAACACTATCCCTAGCTTCTATGCTTCCAGGTACTATATAGCAATGTGGGTAGATGGTAGATTGCCAGATTTTTTGGGTTTCAGATCCCATAAGAATCTGCCAGCATGGGAGGGTCAGTGACTGGGAATGCTGGGAGCTGTGATCCAAAATTGCTGGGGATCTACCTTCTGTCCACCCTTTTCATGCAGCAATCACCATTCAATAGATAAGTTATCTAATAAAAATAATCTAATGGGCACAGTTGGATGAATGTGCCCATTGGCATGCATATGATGCTACTGGTTATGGCAGCGTATAACAACACTGCATTGTAGCTAAAGTTATCTTTGGAATTAATGTTCCAGGCAAATGTTGAGTGGCTCTAGGGGAGAAAAAGTATATATTGGCTTGAGAGTCCTATAGCCATTTCCTTTCTAAAGCTGTCTACAACCCCACAGAAGCCTTTCTGCACCTCTGGGGAGAGCTTCCAAACACTATAAAAAGGGGCACAGAAAAAGGGAACAATCTCCTCATGACCACTCCCGAAATCCTTTTTGAGGGAACCAGGGAGGGGACAGGCCTCTGCCCAGAGGAAGCAAGGATGAGAAACCCCATTAACTTTTAATGGTTAAATTTGCTTAGGTTCCAAACCAGGGGGTTGCATCCAGAGTTAGGCCCACTGTTCAGAGCAGACCCACTGAAATCATGACTAAGTTAAGTGCATTGAGTATGACTAAACTGGGATCTAATCCTGCTGGGAATGGAAGGGGCAGTTGTTCTATGTGCACATTTCAGGGTGATACTGACTCTTGATGGGATGGGACAGGATGGGATGGGATGGGGAAGCCTGGGAATGGAGGCCTGCAGACAGAAAGGAGGGAGAGCTTATTTCAAACTGGAGGAGGGAGAGCTCCACCTTCTCCATCTGTTCAGGCAGACCCTGGGAATTGACAGTGCTGGGAAGGTCCATGGGAGATGAGACAGAGGAGCCTGGTCTGATCCTTGACCCCATGATGCACCATCGGGAAAGAAGGCAAGGCACCCTGAGGACTGGCATACAGCTCAGAGGCTTGCTCTTTTCTAGAAGGGCACTCTCAGGAGCTTGGGGTCCACAGTTACTCAAAAGGAGAGTTCTTAGAAATAGTTCCTCGTTTGGTTTCATTAAACTGCCCACTGCATGCTCAGAGATTCATTCTTTGCTGGCTATAGCCCGCTGGATACACCTTGGAAATAAAGAGCTTTTAAGATCTGTCTTTTTTCTGAAAGAGAGAAAAGGGAAACCTAGCTCCCAACAGATCCATTGTAGGTATATAAAATAAAATGAAAAAATGCAAGATTTCCAGTGCTAGTCATAGTTTTCCATTATTCATCATTGGTGCACAGCTACATATATCTACATATATCCATCATTCATTGACCCGTACGCAGGCAAACATGTGTAGGATTGCAACTGAAATAAGAAATATTGTAATCAAATATTTACATTAACTGCACAAGCCAAAAGGACTGAAGCGCTGCAACTCACTTATCGGAAGCACTTCATGGATGAAAATGGGCTGATGCCACAAGGGAGAGGCAAGACCTTCAAATTATGTTTTCAAATTGTCCAATACTTTCTTATTCCAATTTTCAAGGTCATTCAGACAAAACATGTCTCAACATCACAACAACTCATTTTCCATAACAGCAAATCCAAGATCCTAATTTCTAACTGAAGGTGCTTCCCGAGGAAAGATTCTTGCAACTCCAAATGAGCACACATAGTGCAGCTAATCTTGTTCCACTGAGTGGGTTTTCTGTGGTAAAAAAGGGAGAAAAGCAAGGGACATTGGCAAAAGATGGGGGAATTATGAGTGGAAGGCGATGTCTGGGCAAGGGAAAGATGAATCCATTTTCTCCCATGTTTGAATTGTTTAGATCTCTGGCTTTATCCGTCCCTTTCAGGAAGATGTTGGTAAATGTTGGTAAGTTCTTATAACCAAACCAAATCAAATTCTCACCATGTGAATTCAGTAAGTAGAGTAAATTGCAGCATGGAGAGGGCCATGTTGTATCATGAAGATGTTAAAGAGAAGCCTATCAAGGAAAAGCAAAAGAAAAAAAATGGCAACCTGAATTCTGCACCAAAGACGTAACTGAATGTACAGGAATTCAAAGCCCGTCTTCCAAGAGCAAAGCACTGGGCCTGGATGAACAAATCTGTCAGTTCCACATTCTCCTACATTCAGTTGTTCTTTGTAATAATCACAACTTGATTATTTCCATCTTGTATATGAAAAGCAATGCATTTTGGTTTCATGATTTTTTAAAAAATGAACCAAACCACATTCTCATTTTTCTATAGTTTGGCTTGCCCCCCACACCAACATTTTGTGAATGAGACAAAGCAGAGGGATGAGAAGTCTCATCTAGGAAGGAACCTTGAAAAGACAAGATTATCTAGGGTAATTTTTGTTTCTTTCGATTATCAACGGTTAAGAAAGCATTGAAAGTAAATTAATCTACCAAACTAAATTTCTCATTGTAAAAAAAATTATTTATTTATTTTTTGTGAATATGTAAAAATTGGACCTCTTTCCCTTTTAGAATTTTTTTTTTTTTTTTTTATGGTGAGCGTTTGGGCATGCAAGTAGATTTTACCGAGTAAGCAGACAAGCAAAATCTACTTTCAATTGGCTTGCATTTGCTACCATCTGGTGGCCAATTTGAGATAACGATTCACCATTCACAAAACTCTTCCTCTGAGAAGTCTCAGACTATGCAAGCATGAAAGAAGTTGGGGCTTGGTTCAGCAGAAGATATGAAGTCATTGCCCTGAGAATAAGGAACATGCTCAATTGTTCAGATTTATATCAGTAAAATATAAAACTTAATGTATTTCTGTATCTGTAACATAAAAAGGGGATTTTATGCATGTACAGAGTCTGCTGGCCTAAATGCCTAGGATGTATTTGCTGTGTGGTTTGAGATGAAAATGAACTCCAAAAACGTTGGGTACTTTAATATTTGCAGTCATTTAGACTCTAAATGGGAAATGAAGAAACAAAGCTTGGGCATGCCCACTCCGTCCCTGAGTGAATGCAGGTTCCAAATCGAGCTGTACACCACTGGATTGTGCTTGTTAGCACAGCTGGATCAGCAGCCATCCCTTGCTGGTTCCAGCGGTTTCTTCAAGCCAGGCTGGGCATTGCTCACAAAATGCTCTGGCCTACAACTCCTAGGCTGCTGGCTAGATGAGAATTGTAGACCACATCTGAGGGGCCACAAGTTGTCCACCGTTGCCTTTGAAAGGATGCACACACATTTTGGGTCAGGGTAACATGTATAGAGCGCAATACTATGGGCTAGACACCCAAATGAAGGAAGCTTCCACCCATCCTGTATCTTGCTGCATTCTTGCCAGCAGAGAGATAACAATTGTTTGAGCATTTCTGTTCTCCATTCAGAGGGATCCCAGTGTCCATTTTAGTTTCCACAACACAACCACCCATTGTCTTTAGTTGCTAAGTGGTCCAGGCAAATTCCCCAGAAGATGGCTAGTTTTGTTCCGATAAACCACCCTAATAACCAGTGGGCTGTTTATTATAGCCATGATGGGCTGTCATGTCAGCTGAACCAGCCTGATCAACTCCTTCATGGGTAACAGGAACCAGTAGATAGTTGGCAACAGCCACTGAATGCCTCCTACTGCTCCTGGTAACATGGCCCATGATGCCACCAGTGACAAACACTTCAAAATGCCACAGCAGAACATGACAGGAGCTGTCACTGGCTGCTATTTTTCATTAGATTTCTGCACACTTGCAGGTTTAGGGGTTTGAAAAGGCTCAGCCTTGCCTGGGCAACAAGCTGGTGTGGGGAGACCTGCTGTCAAAGTGCAGCAGGTACCAACACTTGATCCACACTGGCTCCAAACAGGGGGTTCCTTTTCCACTTTACTTTCCCCAGTAATTGTCAAAAGGCAGGCTGTCAAGGGAACGTGACTTCATGAGCAGTTTTTTGCTCGTGGGAGAAGACAGGTGACCTTTTCCAATTTCACAGCAAGATCTCTGATGTTTTGAGTGTTCTCTCATAGATGCTCATGCCAGCATTCTCAACTTTTCCACCCTTTCATGAGACTCAGAGCACTCAGGTAAGTGTAAAAGTGACACTTGTTTCTGATAGCTGTCAGAAGTAGGGATTAAAAACACCCAGGGAATTAGGACAAGAATGCATAGCTTGGACAAGGAAGTCCATCTTTAAAGCCTTACTACTGTCACTTCTGTCACCATTTATACAGCATATGAACTACGCAAAATATGTTTCAGTCCTTCTGCAGCATGATAGTAAAAATGGCAGTAAGACCAGCAAATCTGAATAAATAAGCATCAAATTTATTGAATCATGAATAATTTAAGACTGGTACAATCATCAGCTTTATTCTCCATGACACAGGATGGGGGGGGGACGGGTGGAACGGGCAGCGGAAGATGTAAGGGCAAGCTGGAGAGCAGCATGATCCCAAATAGACCATTTGCAATTTCCAATCCTAAATAGTAACAGCAAAATTAAATAGGGAAGTGAGGAGAAGGAACATCATACTGTACACAAAATACTCAATTCCTAGTTTTCTCTTTTAAAAATGGCTAGAAAAAATTCATCAAAATGCAGCACTTGTAATCAAATATTTACATTTGTATGTTACAATGAAAAAATGTACATCTTAGAGAACTTTTCTCATAAATGGTTCCACTGGAAACAACTAGATCAAAACAGTAACCTTCCATTTAATATCCACAATATTTTTTCTTTTGTTTTCCTTAAAAGAGAATTGCCACATTTAGACAATGTTCAAGACACAGAATATCAAAATTCTTAAGCATCAACAATGCAATATTGTAGGGGGGTTCTTTCCTTTCTTTGCAAAATATACCAAAAGGGGGGGGGTCTTGCCAACCCCTCCTCATCTCTGCACCATCGCCTAAGAGGAAAAAGGTACATATCCAATATATGATTTACAACTTGTACTGTTCTTAGCAGTTGTAAAGGAAAGGGACATTTCATAGGCTTCCAATGTATAACTAAACATGACTGTTGCATAGAGTCTTGTACAAAAAATAGTAACAGGAAATCATGCCAAAGTTGCAGGAAAGGAAAGGCAAAACTGGAAGCAATCTAGATAAAGTATTTTGTCATTGTACAATGAGAAAGGGTATTGATTAGTCTATAAGGAAAATACGAGCTAAATTAAGAAATGTGCATAACAGGCAACCCTGTTTCCCGAAGTCTCAGAAAGGACACTATAGTTGTGTGGTAACTGAAAGGAACAAAATGACTCAAATTTTCAGTGATCCAAATGAAAGCAATAAAGAATTCCTTTCCTTGTTTACAGCAATGGAATTTGCAGAAAAATGGAATATCCAACCAAGGGTTTTTCTATCAACTAAAAGGTGAAGCAGTAAATTAGACATAGAATCAGCTCCAATCCAATCTATGGAAAAAAATTGCATATCACTTTCCCAAGCCATATTATTCCTTTGAATAATTCTCATGTACCTTGGTATCTATTAAATGCTCCCAACCCACAGAGCCCTATACGGACAAACAGGGTTTTCGATACAAGAATCCCCCCTTCAGTCATTTTCCTAAATGAGTCAGTTCGAAACAAGCACATGTAGAGCTGTCTCTTCTCTTGGAATGATCAACAGCACTTTTGTCCCAGATATGCGCATCGGAGACCGCACACCTTGAAGGAAAGCAGCCCGATGGGCCCATTTGCAAGGGACTTACTGGAGTATAGAAACAAATGAAACTTCTTATGACAGCCATATTACATGTTTCTAAGACAGTTCATAGGGGATCTAATTGTCAAGGGTTCTGCATGGACACATTGCATCTTCGTAGTAATTACTTGTAGCAGGAACTGGAAAATACATATGAATTCTAAATATTAGTTTCAAACAGATACAATACTATCAAATTGAATCATTTAGCCCCTGGGGCATCATTGTAGCAAAAATGTTTATCCCAATTTATGTCTGAGGCATTTCTTTCTCAAGCCAGGCGCCATATTGGCTAGCGTGACCAGAATCCTTGAGTGTTTCTGTTTTCAGTGAGCCCAAGATGTATGCATAAAGCAGTGATCCTTAGGGTCACTCAGAAAGAGCCCTCTTTATCTCAATGCTAAGAGGTAGTTTCCTTCAAGCAGGATTCCTCTGTCCTTAGGAGAAGAGAAGCAGGGAGATGGGAACCCTAGTAGGATGCACTTTTCCCAAGTGCTACAGGACAGAGTCTCGGCACTATCAACAGTGCCAAGACTGGCATAGTTTTGACAAGAACTAGAAGGTTGCATATTGATAGAATGACAGCTGGGAAACTTATCACAAGTCAAGTTTCATGCTACACAGTTCCCTGTAGTTGTTATCAGGCAAGCACTGCCCCCTGCCAAACCAGTATGGAGTAGGTTTTCTAACTCTACCCTTAGGGGAAACAGACATGGCGTTAGAGATTACCTCATATCTAGAGGAATCCCTGGTCTGTATGAAGAGTTCCTTCTGGCTGCTAGATAACCTGTGGATTGTGGGATGCTCTGTAGCTACTGTCAACCGTGTTACTCTGGGCACAAGTTCAGGCAATCTGCAAGACTCCAGAACTAAGAAACAGGATTTCGGCACCACAACATTTAATGGATTTGAAATGCAAAGTTTTAAAAATGTGCGATTTAGGAAACTCCCCAAAAGGTCAATAGTGGAAGGCCTTTTCCATTAAAATGACTTCCATGGACTACATTGTAATTCTATTCCCATCCATGATAGAGAAGTTGTATTAAATTATGTTAATAATCCACTTAGAACAAAGTGGATTCTAATAGTTCATTTAGAACACAGATACTTACAGTCTCTTCAGGCTGTACTACTTCTGAGCATATGCAGTTTCATGTTTCAATGTTCCCCTGGGCTAAAAAAAACAAAACCTTGCACCTTGTATGAAGTCTAGAAGAGAACATTTTCCATGTGAGGAGTAATAAACTGTCCCGACAGACCTTCTAAGCCTGTGTCTCACCATAGGAAACAAAGGGTGCTGAAAAGCTAGCTTCTTACAGTGTATTAGCCAGGTTTAGGATTTTTGATTTTGGTGACTTGTTTTCAGTAATCAGATGATCATTAAGAAGAATAGTCAAGAAACCTATTTTGTTAAAAAGAAACACTCAAAGAGTTCTTGTTTGCGTTAATGCCCGAACTGAGCTATGAAAAACAGTCTTTTGCAAATTTGTGCAATTTTGTTAAGGTTGCCAGCATTAGAAAAATGTAATGAGAGCAAGATGACAAAATGCTCAAAGACAAAGGGCTCAATTCACTCATGTCATTGAAAGGAAAACATTATTATGAGGTATAATAAAGCTACCTATTCAGTAAACTGATTTATGGTAGCATGACCTTGTGTATCTTGCATCATATTAAACCTACAAAGATTATTTTTTAAATTGTGACTAATATTCTACCTGCATATTTTAACTAATCAAGACTCTGCCACTTTGCATTAAAGAGTGATACAACTTAGTATCATAAAAAAAAGGTCTGATTTTGCCTCCACTGACTAAAAAAAAAAAAAAAACAAGCTGTCCAATTAATTTCAGGTTGAAATAGAAATTCTGAGAAGCTTTTTCCCTATCATTTCCCTCCTTTAGTTATTATCCCATGTAGAAACAAAAGAAAATCCCATTTATCTTATTACAAACAGTAACAGCCACTCATTGTACTGCAAGAGATGACTTCTATAGCCCTGTTTTGTTAAAATTAAAAAACCCACTCCATCATATACAGCACTAATGGAATTAGAACACAACTAGTAGAAAGTAGGTAAGGCATCACTTTAAAAAAATCAGCGCCCAAAGATAGCTGAAAAGGCTTGCATGTGTGTTACCTGTTTGGGTGAGGGAAGGGGTGAGGGAAAAAGAGAGAAGACAGAAGTGCTGAGCACTGTGGGATGCTGTTGTGTGTTTTCAACCATCAGCACCACCACAACAAAACACAAACTTCAGTGCAATTCCTTGCGAGGTGTTCTTCCTCCCCAGCAGAAGCACCAAGTTTATAAAAAATGAACTTTGATTCTGTGCGTTTGAAGATGTGGAAGAAAGGACATCCAAAGAAACGTGTTCACTGCTTGTTCATAGGTTTAAAAACATGATCCAGAACAACAACAACAACAACAACAAATCACTTTTAGAGAGACTGTTCTCCTTGATTCAAGACTTGGCTAAGTAAAAAAAATCCTTAAAAAAAATGATAGGCTTTAAATGATTTCACGCACCTTAAGCCTGTGTTATGAACACAGATTTCAAAAACCACAATAGTTTTTTTATTAGAAAAGCTATCTACAAAATGTCTATTTAAGAAGAAAAATGTAAGCTTGCTGGGAGAATTTCACTTTAGTGAGTGCATCCATTCTCACTTAAATTTTACATGGAATTCCAGACTTGCACTGGCTCAGGATCAACACCTCCCTCCCCGCCCCCCGCGCTCTTCTTGCTGACTTAGGGCAGTTGTCTTTATTCCATGGGGTAACAAATGCCTCTCCCAATAGGTGGCAATCAGTGCCAGAAGAGCAAAGGGAAAGACAGAAGTAAATAAACATCTAGACCGTCATTCAGACATTCCCTCCTCCCACCCTGCTGGTGTCACCCTTCATACTGTGATGCGACTCTGCACATTCAGTGAGACCTCTGAAGAGGGGTGACTACAGACCTCTCCTGGATATCATAAAGCAAGATGAACAGGGCACATCAGTGCCGAATGTGTGGACAGCAGGGTGATCCCATTGACTCCATGGGCGAGTCCTACCTTGGGGGAGCATGTCTTCATCTGGTGAGAGAAAGTGGTCCGACTTCTCACTTCAAGAGGCACTGGTCAGATCCCCAAGGAGCTACGGAACTAGTTCCTTAGTTCCATTAGTTGTGTCCCCCTGCCCCTCTCCCCACCACACACAGCAGCAGCCTCCCATACCTCAAGACAAACCGTGTTTGGAAAGGGGATGTATCAGAAAGAGTTTTCTCTGAGGTAGGAAGATCAGCTGTTCAAGAAAGAAATAAAGGGAAAAATACACTACACCAGTGCAAGGACTACGTACTGACAATCGCCTCTTCCATATTTTGTGAAGCACTCATTAAAATACAGTGTCTCAAAACCCTGAACTGATGTTGCAAAGGGTGAAATTCACAGTTCACAGACATGGCCTGGTATCCAAAGATGGGATATGCATCCAACAGAGGAGAGCCATACTGGTGTTCTCCACCCACTTTTTCTTGCCCAGGTCCTGTTGCTGAAAAGACAAGCTGCTAACCAGTTTTAAAAAACACTCGTCTCTGCAGCAGTAGGAACAGCTGAAGCAGAAAGCAAAAGTAAAACTTTGGCTGTGTATTTGGTTCTTCCTACAATGCATATCCAGTCTCTGGATCCTGACCAAAACTGGTAGCACCATCCATTGCTTCAATGGAGACAAACAAATGAAGGGCTCACTAGGTTGAGCCAAATGCCTGCCTTTGTATAAACAAAAAGAAACAAGAAAATATAAAAAGCCAGGGTCTCGAACTGGAGAACAGCCTCCTTTTCTGCATGGATGCATGTATGTAAGTACGCTTGAGTATTTCAGAGTTCCCTGTTTTTCCTCTCCTTGCCTTTTAGGGTACATTACTCTCAAGGCAAGTGCTTATTCTAGATAGCACCAGAACTATCTGCAGCTGAGGTGAGATTCAACCATGTCTTAGAAAAACTGAACCATTACCAAACAAAGCAGTCAGTAATGGTCAGGAGCAGCATAGGCAAGATCCACTCCCTTTACTCCCTTTCTGGACAGTACATGGCACAAAGATCTTTTATTTCAAAGCTTTGAATGAGGGCATCTCCCCTCCCCAAGCCCTAGCCCACTCTCCCCAGAAATTACTATTGACTAACATTGTTTTTATGGGAAAAAATGTATTCAGTGTCTTAGGCATGTGAGCTCACAGCAAAGTCAAAAGAATAAAAACAAAGTAGTGCAGTTCTTATTAAGGAAAAAATAAAAAATAAAAACACAGTACAAAAACATCAAGTGGGTTGCCTGCACCCATATTTGACACTGAATGGGGAGGGGGCGGAGGGAGAGAAATACGGTTGTATTGTTCTTGCAGCTGTAATACTGAGATGTCCATCTGGACCAAGGACCAGTTATCCGCTTGGACTAGTGATTCATTTTTCTACGTGAAGCAGGAGACAGGACACAGGAAGCAAGCAAGCATTTCGGCTAGCTGTGCATCACAACGTTGACTCCAAGGACGAGTCAAGGATATCATCATGATGGCTATTGCTGTTGGAGTCACTGTCGTAACTCTGTGGGCTGGAATAGTTGGCTGCCTCTTGCAATCTCATCAGCATGTTCATCTGAAAAAAATACAAAAAGGGCAAGATGTATTGGTGGGGTTCCAGCACTGCTTGCTTATTTGGCAACCGATACAGCTGAGGTGTTCACTTGTTATATTGATCACGTATCTGCAGCTGGCATTCAATATCCTGAGATGTAAAATCAAGCAGGGTCAGAAGCACATTATTTCCTAGTATACGCTGATTTTTGCAGTAGCCATGCTTTGGAAATCAAGTCAAATTCAGGCTGTATGGAGGAAACGAGGACACAGTGCATACCTCAGTCAGTGCTAGTTGGATAAGCTATGTAAGTCCAGCTATGTAAGTCCAGCAATCGCAACACTTACTCTGGTCCATTCAATGGACCCATCTCCACCTCATCAGCTTATGTTACTTTTAATTGGCATGCCAAGTAATTGTTACAGAAGCATCAGGGAATGGTTACCATGTTTTTTAGCAAGATTTCCTGAATTTTGTATGAAAGGTGCTAGCAAGGGAGCGCTAGCATATGTGGAGACTCTGCACATAACCTCGTTTCATGTGAGTCGTGCATGCATTAGTGCATGCCGAGAAAAAAGCCATATTGAAGATATAGCACTAAATGTTAAGCCTTTGAGGGATCCCTTGCATGCAGCTAGTCCTGTTTCTCCAAGCTCTGCCTGAATTTATTAAGTAACGTGGGGCTGCAGCCAACAGTGTGGGGGTTTCCATGGAATCGGTATCCTCAGGGACAGATCCGCAGGACTGATCTTGCCACTTGTTTGCAGTATTCTGAACAGAACAAGTACTGTGAGATGAATCAGTCCACAGAGAACTATTTTCTACTGTTCAAATTGAAAAGGGCACCAAAATGCACTGAATGAGAGAAATAAGCACAAAATGTAGCTTGAATAGCAAATGGAAAGCTGGTGGTTAATAAAGAGCAGCTGTCTCCGATACACTTTCAGAAGCAGCTGGATTTAGTGATCCTTCAAAGCCTTTGGAACAATCTGAAAATTGTTGGATTTAGAAATTGTTTCTAAACAGTCAAGCCCATGACATTATCATGCCTCTGGTTTGGATGAGCAACATCATGGGAGGCTGAGATGATTTGTTAGGATCTCTGGCTACTAAGTGGTGTGATCACTGTTCCGCTTAACTCTACAAAAAAGCTGCTTGCCACAATATAGCTTTAAGCCTGACACATAACAGAGACAATGCAATCACCCAGACCTCGTGTGAACTCCAAGTCAAGTACACACCATCACATTTACAGCATAACTGTAAACTTCTGGCATGGACCACAAAAAAACAAATGAGCAAAAGAGGGCTCATCGATGTGCGCTTTCCACAGAAGCCAGAAAGAACGTTTTCAGATTTCACAACGCACGCCTGATCCTCATCTAACATAACTTGCAAATCATGTTATTCCATTGACAAATCTCACCAGAGGATCTCCTTCAGCATCACTGGGTGGAACTTGTTTGCTGGTCGAGCCTTCCCGTGGCATAGAATAACCATCAAATCCAACATCTTCTGGGCGCAACTGCAACAAAGGCGGCCATTCATGGTGTTGTGGGGTGGCTGCCCATGGGTAAGTGTCCATCACCCATTTGGCAGGGTCTTCCCAGGGTGCTCTTCTTCCATACAACTGCAACCAAGAACAGGAAAATATCTTTAATAAAAGCAGGGCATAGTACATTTATGTATTATATGCTTCAGTGTCTGAGATAATACATAGCATCTTCCAGATTTAGACGGAGAGCACATGATGCAGCTACCTGGCTTCAGCTAAGTAGTCTAGAAGCCCTTTTTATTTCCCCAGCATTTTAGTAGGTTAACTTTTAAACTTTGTTTTTATATATTGCACTTGATTCTCTACTGCTGCTATGCTTCTACGCAGAATCATAGCAATTCCAATTATGGTTTTATTCTTTTAAATTATTTTAAGCTAATGTTTGTGTATGTTGTAGTATTTAATTTTAATGTCTGTTAACTGCCCAGAGTCTCAGCTATTGGACAATATAAAATAGAAATAAATAGGTAAGTAAAATCTACCATGAAATCTCAGTACACCTGGGGTGACAATATGGACCAACTGTGCCTGCCAATTCAGGTTAATGGAATATATATTTGTGATACATGCACTCTATAATTCGCTGCAGTTCTACAGAAAACACACATGGATTCACTGAGGTGCAAGCCACATGGAAAGAATCCACAACAGTTGTCTAAAATACTGCAAAGCATTGCTTTAAAGCAATCACAAAAAGTTGTATCTTGAATACAAATAGTGAGGCCAAGCTGATGGAATTTAGGAAGCATCAAACACTTTTTTGCTAAACCCAACGAACCTTGTCTTAATACGCTTATCTGTATCTTGTCACTGCAGGCCAAGTTCCTCCAGAGCAATCAGTAGGGTTCATGGGGTTTTCATTCAGGTACTGTTCAGATGCAGGTTTGCTTATTTTTAGAGGCAGAGCTACAGAATTTGCATAGAGGACTCTTTGGGCTAAATCACAATATGCTGGGATATTCAGTGGTATAAGTTTGGGGTGCCAAATCAACAGGAAAGCACTGACCACTGAACTCGGGAGTTTTATATTTAAGAACAGCAACGATTTGGGAAATCCGCAAGTGAAAACTTTCCATAGCAAGGAAAAAGGCACAAGTAGCGGCTTAAATCAATACACACCAGGGTCCCCCGGCTTGATGTCCTCCAGTCCTATGCTTCCTCCTACTCATCATCACCAACATACATTTAGACACTGCATTCCAGAAAACTATCAAAACAGTTTAAAAGTGATGAAATGACCGATTATAATAGTAGACATCTAATAAAGTAATTGCCAGATCTCTAAAACTATACTGTCTTGGTCAACTTTCAGGAAGAGCCTGCATGAAGAGATGGAAATTCAGCAGACAGCTAGTGTTCCAGGAAAAGCATTCATGAAGGCAACACTGGTGCTCTGAGGACTTCCTGAGCCAGACAACTGGAGCATTTGACACCGCTGGAAGTGTTCTAGCTAAGGACTACAAGGAGCACACAGGAACTTATGGGGTGAGGCAGTCCCCAAGGTAACCTCATCCCAAGTCAGTTCTGTTGACTTGTTCCATTCCAGAAATACTCATTTAGTCTTGTTTCCATTTGCTGTAGAAAGTTCTGGGTTCCTTTTGTGCTGCCTCTGTACAAACAGGTGGCACCCAGGTGAGGGACATTCAGTATTTAGAAGAAATACAATAGGATGACTGAGGCAGCTTCACGAAGCAATGACTGAGCTACTAAAGAAATAGAAAGAAGCAGAACAAAGTCCTGCAGGAATTTCTAATTTCACTTTGCTGAGGTAGACCACTTCAGAAAAGGATATTCATGGGGGATTGCTGGGGTTCACGTGAGAGACCCAACAGTATCTTTTGAGAATGCTGTGCCACAGAAAAATGTGAGCAGCACTGGAAGTATGAGGGGTGTTCAATGTATTCTCGGTATCGGGTTGATTTGCTATTGATGTGGGTAATTTAGTTATTGCATTAGCTAATGACACTATCTGAGGGTATACATGCAAAATTTCAAATAAGTGTGATCATTAGTTCCCTAGTAATCCTCAGTGAAAGACGACCATGATGACTGACATGACAATGTTGAAGAAAATCGAGCACCGTGCTGTGATTAAGTTCCTTACAAAACAAGGAAAAAGTCAAAAAATCATTCACTAAGAGATGGTGGCCGTTTACCAGGACTCTGTACCTTCATTATCTACTGTTCAAAAGTGGTCAAGTGAATTTAAAAGGGGCAGAGAAAGCATTGAAGGCGACCCTTGCTCGGGCGGGCCGGTTACTGCCACAATGAAAGAAAATGTGAAAAAAATGGAAAAACTTGTCTGGAAGATGCCTGAATAAAAATCAAAATGTTAGTAAAGATGACAAACCTATCCGTTGGTACCATATTTACTATTTTGCATGACCATCTTAACCTTTCAAAGGTCTGTGCAAGATGGGTGCCGCGAATGCTCATGGCGCCTCAGAAACAAGTGTGAGTCGAGTTCTGTAGGGGAGTTTTTAGAGCTCTGTGGTGAAGATCCATCAAGTATTTTTGACTGGATTGTTACTGGAGCTGAAACTTGGGTTCATCACTATGACCCTGAAAGTAAGCAGGAGTCTGTGCAGTGGCATAGAAAAGGTGCTGACCCTCCAAAGAAATTCAAAGTCACTCCATCGGCTGGAAAAATAATGGCCACAGTGTTCTGGGACTCAAAGGGAATTTTATTGATCAAGTACACGAAAAAAGGTGAAACCATAAACACAGCATCTTACGCAACCACTCTGCATAATTTAAGAGAAGCAATTAAAGAAAAAGGGTGGTGAAAACTGACCGCAGGTGTGTTGCTTCTTCACGACAATGCACCCGTTCACACGGTGCGTGTTTTGAAGGCTGCTTTGTGAGACTGTGGTTTCGAAGAAATAAACCACCCACCCTATAGCCCGGACCTGGCCCCTAGTGATTACTACCTATTCCCGAATTTAAAAAAAGATCTTCGTGGAAAGCAATTTTCCAACGATGAATCGCTCAAGGTGGCAAATAACGCACATTTTTTAGACAAGGAGGAAGGGTATTTTTTACAGGGAATTGAAAAGTTAATATCTAGATGTAACAAGTGTATTGACGTTATGGGGGGAAAAGTGCCCTTCCCAAATGGTTGGCTTGGGAGCTTAGTTCTAAGGCCATCAAAGAGCTCCATTTCAGTGCCTGGCGTGGTGGTTCTGCTTTGGTGACAACACTTCTCAAGGATTGGGTGAGTCAGTCAGCTTCAGGCATCTAGTTCAAGCAAAAGTCGCCCAAGAACTCTGAAGCAAGGTTTTGATTTTACTGGAGTTCAGCAAGACATTACAAAAACTCCTGCTCTGTGGAGCCATGAACCTTATTGTGAATAAACATCTCCTTAGGCTAGCCATTTCATTTCAGCAAGAGGAAAGCTGAAGTAGTTAAAGTGTTTTCAGATTGAAATAAATATTCCCATTCACATTTGTAATAGAACAGTTTTGGTGACTTCCCTTATTGGGGTGGTATTTCACTTGCTGGACAGTATTGTTCTGATGTCTACTCCCCTGTGGATCATATGGTGGAAAATTAAACAACACCCCACAGGAGTCATGATACATTGACCTGGTCCAGATGATTAAATAACCCTTTGTGGGTTTGTTTTTTGTTTTTTTTACAATAAGCTGGCCTAAGAACCCATGCACTATAGTAAGGATTATTCAACCCAGAGTTGGTTGTAGCATCATCCAAACCAAAGTAACCAATCTCATTGTGGGTAGTGGGAAGCGGCAAGCAAAACAACAAAACCCCCTTGCTGCTCTTGGCAATCATGCCACTACCAGTGAAAGCTCTTCCAAATTGCCCAAGTAGAACATTGGAAGAATTGACACTGGCTGACCACTGTGTTGTTGTTGCTGCTGCTGCTGCTGCTGTTGTTAAGCTCCACCTCAAATGTGCATGAACTTTTTTCATTTTTTAAAGTTGGATTTGCACAACTGTGAAGGTACACAGTTCCACAGGTTCAAAAGTGGAAAGTCTCACCTGGATGAATCCTTGGGAGTTACCTGCTGTTGAAGCTGAGCAGGTACCAGCCCTAGCTCTTGACCCAGATAAGCCCCAACTTTTCTACCCATTCCCCAAACCCAAGATGCTTGAGAAGGAAAAGTGCAACACCTCTTTTCATTAACAACTTGCTACTGACAGCTATCAAAGTTAGGAGGCTCTTTGAAAATACAGATTTAGGCGGAACAAGGCAGAATAGTTTGGACATAGGAAATCTGTTTGTAATCTCTGAAAACACAGGGGGAAGCTGCAGAAGTAAAAAAAGGGTTTACAGATATAGTGGGAAAAGGAGACAATGCAGCTTTGGTTTGCCAAGTTCACTGAGCTACAAGGCAGAGGACTGAGTAAAGGAAGGCTTGGACCATCCAGAGTGAGTCTGATTGGCTGTTGGGCACCCCATGGGCTGCTTGCGTAACAGCCAACCCACTGGCTTACTGCCAGGGTGGGTTAGGGTGGTGTGCAAACCTTCCCATTATGAAAACATCCAAATGCCATTAATGCTCTGTACATAAATGTTTCTGTGCAAGCCAAAGGCCCCAACGGCTATCCCCTTTATCGTCATTACAGGACAGAGACAGGTGCTTGCAAGAGTAGACATTAGAATTACACAGAAATAAAAGAGCAACTTGCCTAGGCTGCAGCACAGGTGCTTCCAGATGCATTAATGCACCATTGCCCTACTGCACGCACAGGGGCCAGATGTTGCTACATTCCTTTTGTAACCCCTTCTCATGTTCCCCCACTACTTCTTTGCTCTTAGTGCCCATTAAGAAAAGCAAAGGTGGGATAGATGCACAGCACATTTTAATCAGCAGCACAAGGAGCCCTCTATCTGGAAGCAGCCTGAGTATCTAGTACTGAATTCTGCTAAGTGTTTGGAATTCCTTTAAAATCCCCTAGATCAGAGATTCTCCTTTGACCCTACACATTCCCCACTTTTAAAATACTAAGTAGATAGCCTTTAGCAAACTTGGAACTGTAATCTGTAACAAAAGTTGGCAATTACAACTTGAAAACCAAAAGGCAAAACCAACACTATTTAATACAAATAG